ATCTGTTGCAATAAAAACTGTATGTATGTATGTGCTTTACCATTCAGAATTATGGAATCCTTATGAATTCTGTTATTTCATACAGTTGTATGAAAAAGACTGGTCACCCCTGGGTAAATGGCAAGCTTTGTTGAATTTCTAAAACATCCTTTATAGAAAATACACTTCTTCTCATTTTAATAACAATTACTGTTTATTTACCAAAGTTAACGTATTGAAGAAAAACAGAAAAATGCCATATTCTGTGTGTTCTCTGTAGTGGACATGTGAACTTTTTCTCCTCAAAAATCAACAAAACACATTGTGTGACAGGAATATTCAAAATATGACTATAGAGAATAATAGTCTCTGCAATGTTGATATAATTATAATTTACTCACCAAAAAAGTATTTTTTATGTTTTCTTTAGTAAAACTAATTTTGTAAAGAAAAAGTTTTCAAATGATGGTTGATATACTGTAATTTTATACATACAAATTAAACAAGACTAACATGTTACAATCATTTTATACACTGCAAAAATATGATTGTATGTTATTGCAACAAAATGCAATGATTCAAAAATCTGTCTCAATATAAAGATAAAGATTCTGATCTGCTTGTGTCTGTTATTCAGCAGAGAAACCTAAAGACTCAGTCAAAGAGAAGACGACCAAACAGGTACTGCTTTAGTGCCATTATTACTCACATTACATGTACAAAATCAATGATATATAAGAGCTCTTATTTAAACTCTCATCTCTGTTCCTGCAGGTTGATGATGCTATGGAGCTGAATTATGCAGCCTTAAATTTCCATGAAAGGAAAACTAAAAGAGGAAGAGGGAAACGAGAACAGCCACAAGAAGACACTCTGTATTCTGCAGTGAGGGGCTCCTCTGTTAATGACCACAGAGTAACCCATTAACTGTAACTCATTAAGGTCTTTTTACTTAATTCTAATAGAAGCAAAACTACCTACAGTACACTACTATCATTTAGTGAGGTGGAGGATGTCGAGTCAAGTACCAAAATGACGGAAAATTAAACACCATCTCATGTGATTCTCATTTAAAAAGTGAATGATTAAATATTAATTAGATCATTCAGTCAATGGCCTAAATGTTTGTAAAAAAAAAATAATGATGAGCTGAATTATTAAGGACTTCGTATTATGTTATATTATTATTATTATTATTGTTATTATTATTATTATTATTATTATTATTATTATTATTATTATTATATACATAATTGTTCTCCTACATTAAAAGTATTGTATTTCTTCACTTTTTACTTTTTAAAAGTTTGCTGCAATACTTGACATTTAACTGACTTGTATTAATGTCTTTACTAGGGGTCCAAGCACAATTGGTATTTTATCCACTACTTGATTTATTTACCATTCAAGGATTAATCAGTAAATTTATTAACAGATAATTAACTCATACTAAGAGACCAACTCATAAGTACTAGTCTAGTTCTCATGTTACTTCTTTATATGAGTACACACACTTAACAGTTCATTAGTCAGTGTAATAAGCAGCAATGTACTTAGCGTAATAATCAACAGTGTAATCAGTGTAATAAGCAGCAGTTAGTACAAAGTTACAGAGTAATTGATCTATAAACTAATAGCAAACTAAAGTATCAGTTAACAGTGTAGTTAATTACTAATTTTAAGTGCACAATCAGTTACTAAGTAGTAACCAATGCCTAAATATATCGCTGCTGTCGGAACAAAACCCTGTATCTCCATTTTTGTCGTTTTTCAGTTTTTGACATAATTTGAAAATACCCATTGTCCTATATATTGTGTGTAAATTTCATGATGATTGGACCAACAAAAATGACCCATAATTACTTGAAAAAATGGCTGGTTCCATTGACTTATATTAAAAGTAGGTGTTACGTGCCAGGACGGCATGCGTGTTTCTTGTTTGTCTTTTTTTTGTTTCTTTCTGTGTCTGTCTACCTCACCTAACAGGTGCAACCCAACCAGTGCATAAAAGGCTGACCCGGCAACATGAGGAGAAGAGAGCATTGTGTGTCTGTGAGGCCTTTAGTTTGCTGGTAGTTTGACTTATGTTGTTATTAAAATTGTAGCCCGTTAGTTTTAGTTTTGCCTTGACCTCCCTGTGTCTCTTTCTCGCTCTCTCTCTCTCTCTCTCTCTCTCTCTCTCTCTCGTACTCTCTCACTTTAAATCGCTCACTCTGTATCTCTCTTTCTAGCGCGATGAGTGGACAGGCAGTTTGGGCACGCCTTTACATCTAACACACAAGGTAGTGACACACTTTGTATAGAGAGACTAGGTAAGGGCTGAGTGCCACCCTCTGTATTTTGTGCAGGTTAGCTCCTGTTAGACAAGTTTTTTATTATTTTCGTTGCTTTGGCACCGTCCATAGTCCACCATTGCAGCTAGCTTTGCATACAGTATTATTACTCTCAGCCTTGTCAGTACTGAAAGTCAATTCAACTCTTCGATCACATTGAGCTTCATAGATTAGCCCTGTTAGCTGGTTATCAGTCCATCTTGTTGATTTTGTCTAGTTGGCTGTCTTATTGTCAGCTGTCTTACGTCTTTGTTCCATTTCACTACTTCACTTCAAAGGTGTATGTGCACACGTTTACTATTGAACAGTAATGCTTTGTCTAAACGTGATACTCCCGTTGTCCGTGTCTCTCCCTTTGGCCCCTCATCACATACTCCATGTTACTTCCCCTTGACCCCTAGGTAACATTCAGGGGCACGTTACAATAGAGTATGTTTTTTCCTTCTCCTGTAAAGTTCTCTTTTTGGAAATATGAGGTTTTGTTCTGACAACAGCGATATAGATGATAAGTAGTTAAAGACTTCATCATAACATAATCATTCTTTATTTTGCGACTCTTAATGTATCTGCTACATAACGCAGATCTATCGGTACATAGGCATTACTTAGGATCATAATCACATTAATCTGCATGGCTAATTCATTATTTGGACAATGTCTATTTTAAACACATTCTTATGAACCTGGAGCTGCTTTACATTTCAAAAACAAAATAGGAAAGAAAAGATGGTCTGGTGTGAGTACAGTGCAGTGAGATACTGTATTATTTATAACTTTATCTCTAATTCTAGCCTCAATTGTTAGTTCTGTTTAGCTTTTCTTTTAGAAGTTTCTAATAAAACACTGGTTCTCTGTGCAGAAAACTGTTAAAGAGACTGTTTTAAGTGTTCATGAACTAAGAAAAATACAAAAGTGTGGACCCCCATACTCATTCTGTGGTTAGAGTCTAGAAGCTGCGGCACATCTTTCAAAACAAAGACAGAGGAAGCAGTAGATGAAAGCATCTAATGTCTGACATCACAGACGTGGCCTTTGACCAGAAACAGCTATGATTGTGAGAGTCCTGCAACATATATAGGGTGGTATAAACAACTAAAATGATGCATAATGTTTCCAAAATGTTTTTAAGTATAATGATTATTCTAAACTAGTACTACTCCACACTGTAAGGTCTTATACTGTAATTCAGGACTCAGCAGTGCAAGGTGAGAAGCACGTGAGGACACTGCCCATCCCCAGATACTGTAAAGAATGAAACTTCTAATGCAGTGTAATAGAGGAGGAGCCTGTAGAGATTATTAGAGCGCAAATATGTATGTCAGCAGTCAGTAGTTTGTGATGGAGGTACAGGGATTCATTGCAGAGCATTTCATTATAGCTATAGGAATGGACAAACTTCATCAGTTTGTATTTATTACCATTTTTCAGTTATATTATTCAACAATTCAACATAAAATTATGCAAAAACTGGGTGAACGTGAAATTAAGGTGAACACAATCTCCAATTTTCATCACAAACATCTGTCACCACCATGACCAGGTCTTCAGCCATTGTAGGCCTCTCTCATGCTATGAGTGTTATGTCTTGTTTTGAGGTGGACAGGAGCTTTACACTTGGCTGTGGCTTTTGTTAGTTTGCTGCTCATTGATTTATTCATACATGTCCTGCAAGGCCAGTAGTGTGGTCTGCTGAAAGTGTCCACTAGTGATACTGATATCAGCAATATTGATATCACTGATGTTGCTGCCATCAGCACTTGGTATTTCCACATCAGTGCATGGTTTGCTTACTTAAAACCCAACGTGCTTCACTGGTAAACAAATTCATCATGGCAGTAGCTGTAATCAGCTTTGGTTTTATCAAGAGATCAGCAGAGCCGAAACTGCAGATGCTTCGAAGTGTCAAACTAGGAAAACCTGTTAATGGTGGTTAACTCTACTCAAGTGACTGAAGACAGATACATGTTGTTTTGTTGTGTGCACAGCGACAGTCTACTCTGACAACAAACTGTCTGGTTCAAGATAACAAATGAACTCTTAACATAAATGAACATGGTATAATTCTTTAAAACAAGAAGAAAAAATCTCACCCAAACCCTTACTATAATAAAAGCCCCTAGTGAAATATCATTACTCTATTTAGTATAAGAATATGTTGTACTATCAGAAAATTGAAAAAAAAAAAATGTGTTTGTAAATACAATATTCTAGTTTTTTTGTGGAATAGTAAAGGCAAATGTATTTTATCTTCAAATCAAGTTTTTTCTCTGTGAGGTGACACTTCCTGAATAAAGATGTTCATTGGCTGTTTCACTATTGATGACACAGCCAGCTTATAAAGAGGCCCCCAGTGAACTTCTGGTGGTCAAATTATCTTCTGTCAAGCAGGCAAAAAGGACCTTGTGACTTCCTTTTAAACATTCATTTCAAATAATCCAATGCATTCTATGAAAATAACTCCCCTCTGGATTCTTATTGCCAGTCTTTACAGAATAGGTAAGTTTCTTTGTATGTATTACTATTACCATTCCTTTCTCATTTCTCCTAACTGAGTTAAATCTAATTTAAACTCATTTTATAGGTCACGGTCAAGCTGTAGGTCTTCATCAGAAGCCATTTTTGTCAGTTAAAGCTGGTGAAGCTGCTACACTTCACTGCACATTTGGTAAAAGCTTGAGTTCAGAGCGAATGTTTTGGTATAAGCAGAAACTGGGACAGACTCTTCAGCTGGTGGGAACAGTGATAGCACATTTACAACCTATTATTGTTCCTAAGTTCGACCCATCAAGAATCTCACTGGAGACAAAACCAAGCAGCGTTTCTTTGACTTTAAAACGTACTACTGAAGATGATGAAGGAATCTACTTCTGTGGTAAATCTGATGGGAATGCGATTCAGTTTTCCAGTGGAACTTTCTTAGCTGTGACAGGTAATCACCATATTTTCATTTATCAACAGTTAAATGTAAACGTTGTTTCAATTCAAAATCCTTTTGCTTAAGACTGTGTATGTAATTATTTATAGTCCTTGCATTTTTTGGAACACTGTTACTAATCAAAGTACAACACAGCATTTGTTTTTTTTAATGAAATTGAGGCCTCTGTCAGTTTAGGTTCTAATGATTCCACTTCATTCTAATAAACTATGACAAAAAAACCAACAAAAAACAGTAAAATAGAAAAACTTTAAATGGCAATTTTGTTAATTAATACTTATTATAAGTACATTAAGTACATGATAATGATGATGGTGATGAATATTATTATTATTATTATTATTATTATTATTATTATTATTATTATATCAGTAATACTAACAATATAAACACAGCAATGTTAATACTTATTGTAAGTACATTAAGTACATGATAATGATGATAATGATCATGATGATGATGATTATTATATCAGTAATACTAACAATATAAACACAGCAATATCATCTAACATTTAATTGGTAAGTGATAAATAACTATTAGATGTGACAAAACAGATCAGGTGATGTAACTTTACGTAGTTTTAAAACTGACCTTCAAACTCATCTCCATCAAGAAAGCAAAAATGTCCGATTTAAACCAAAGATCGTCATAGGTAGCATATAACACTAATGCTACCTAGTGAAGGAAACTCCTTTGAACAGCTTTGTGTCTTTATGATGAAAATCTAAATTACAATGCTGTAAAAAAGTGTCCCTCACCTGATTTCTTCCCTTTTTGCTAATTTGCTACATTTTAATGTTTCAGATCATCTAATTTTAATAAAACATAAAGACAACATGAGTAAACACAAAACACAGCTTTTAAATTATCATTCCATTTATTAAAAATAAAGATTTATTTAAAACTCTTTATTACGCATTTGAAAAAAAGTAATTGCCCCTAAACCTAACAACAGGTTGTACCACCCAAGGCAGTAGCAACTGCAAATAAGTGACTCAGCCACTCCAACCAATTTTTTATTTTATTTTTTTTAGAAGTGGACTTGCTTGTGTGCTTTAGATCATTGTCCTGCTGCAGAACCCAACTGCGTTTGAGCTTTAAGTCACTAACAGGCAGACATTCTCCTTCAGGATTTTCTGATAAAGAGCAGAATTCATAGTTCCATCAATTGTGACAAGTCGTCCAGGTCCTACAGAAACAAAGCAGCCCCAGACCATCACACTACCACCACCATGTTTGACTGTTGGTATGATGTTCTTATGGTGGAATGTGGTGTTAGCAATACACCAGATGTTATGGGACGCATGCCTTCCAAAAAGTTCCACCTTTGACCCATCAGTCCACAAAATAGTATCCCAAAAGTCTTGGGGGTCATGTAGACGAGCCTTTGTGTTCTTTTTGGTCAGGGGTGATTTTCGCCATGCAACTCTCCTATGGACGCCATTTTTGCCTAGAGTCTTTCTTATCGTGTAATCATGTACATTGACCCCACCTAAGGCAAGTGAGGCCTGCTGTTCTTTGGATGTTCATCTGGGTTCTTTTATCACCTCCTGGATGAGTCGTTGATATGCTCTTGGTGAAATTTTGCTAGGCTGGCCACTGCTGAGAAGGCTTGTCACTGTTGTAAGATTTCAGTGACTTTGTTTTGCATCTGTATTTGAATCTCTTTAGAATGTGGCATCATGTTCTGCTTTTTGAGACCTTCTAGCCTGCTTCACATTCCAGGCAGGTTCTATTTAAGTGACCCAATAGTCAACTGAATTTGGTTAACTGGTTGATTTAGTAGCTAAGGGGGTAATTACTGTTTTTCACATAGGTCCAAGTAGGGCTGAACAGCATGTTCCCTTCAATAAATGAAATCATCATTTAAAAACAGCATTGTGTGTTTACTTGGGTTATCTTTGCCTAAAAGTAGTTTGATGATCTGAAACATTCAAGTGTGGTGAATAGGCAAAAATAGAAGACATTGGGAAAAGAAATTCTTTTTCACAGCACTGGATATTTTTGGTCCAATTCGCTAAAGTAGGCCTTCCCCTTTGTCTAGGAGGATATCTTACTCCTAAGGTCTAATTTTACATTTTTACGTTAAAAGAATTTTTTTTTTTTTTTCTTTTTGAAAACAAACATTCTCTACACAATACCCCATAATGATATATTTTTATGATTATTTCCTTTATAACTATATAAATGTACAGATCACTGTTAGCCAATAAGAATAGCCATTGACTTAATGTGAGGAGAACAGATTTGGCCTAATAATTTGATTCGGAGATAACCGGGACATTTTACCCTCTAACTTTCTAGTCCAGCGTTTCCCAGCCCTATTTCAGGAGGCCAGCTGCCCTGCATGTTTTAGTGCTTTCTCTGCTTTAACAATTCAGGTAAAAGTACACTAATATGTGCAGAGCAGTGGGCCTCCAGGAGGTTGGGAGACATTACTATAGTCAGCTTGATGGTGTAAATACTAACATAATCACTATAAATGTGGAGGGCAGATTGTGTTGTCAGTATTTTCAGCCACAGATTATTACACTACATGTCAGCAAATTCAATGTGACTACATGTGATTTCACCATTTTCAAGGCAGTTTATTTGCACACATACTTTGACTCAAAAATCTCTTACAATATTTATATCATTAAATAGGTCACCCAAAGTTAAGTGTATCAGTGCTCCAAACTCCAGTATGGGGGTCAGTTTCTCCAGGAGAGTTGGTCACTCTGCAGTGCACGGTCCTCTCTGAGATCAGAGCAGCAGAACTCCGAGTGCTCTGGTTCAGAGCTGCTGCAGGACAATCCTTTCCTGAAATCATTTACACTCATCAGAACAGCAGCAGCCGTCAGTGTGAGATCAGCTCTTCTACACACAGCTGTGTGTACAACTTCTCCAAGAACATCCTCGACCACAACCATACTGGAACTTACTACTGCGCTGTGGCTGCTTGTGGGGAGATTATTTTTGGAAATGGAGCATCAGTAGAACTGAGTAAGTTTTCTCACTGTACACTTATTTAAAAATAAAACAAAACATTTTAGATATAACAAGACACTTTTTTCTGTGTATTGTTATAAATGTCACACTCTTTAAAATATGGTTTGTAAATCATTCTTTAGTAAAGAAAATGGTTCTGTATAGCACAAAGAAGGTTTTTCTATTGTTACGATGTCAAGCTTGTATCAACAGAAGGACCCTTTTGGGTGCCCTATAGAACCCTTTTCAAATACGTTCTATATAGAACAATCTACAGCACATTCTCCATCTAAAAAACCCTTTCACGATGCAAAGAACCCTTTAATAATACAAAGGGTTCTTTGAGTGTTCATGGTTCCGTATAGAATGATTTTTGTTACTAAACAACCCTTAAAGGACCCTATTTTTAAGTGTGCACTTCTGGACATTCTTTTTCATATTGTTCCGTATTCTGTATAATTTCCATTTTGTTTACATGTTAAAGGACTGCAAAATGGTCATCCATGACATTTTACTTCTCTGAGGCCAAACTTTTATTTATCTCTCAACTTGAGATTTTATTTCTTTTCTGTTCTCTTTCTTTTGTTTGCAAAAATCCTAAAGTGTTTGTTAATTGTCATTTTGTAAATTCATAAATACAGTCATATGCAAAAGTTTAAACACCCCCTGGTCAAATTACATTTGGTTGAGTTTTTAAGTGAAAATAAGTTCCACATCCTCTACAGAGAACACATTTAAATATGGATTTTTTTCTGCACATTTTAGTGCACAATTTTTATTTACTTGCTGAGTTTAAAATGTTGGAAAAAAAAAAAAACCTATAAAATACAAAATGAGCCATAACTTTAGCAGAGGGTATATTTTATGCATATTTTTTTTCCAGTATGTCAAATTCAGCAAATAAACAATTATTGTGTATTAAAATGTGCAGGAGCGTGTTCTCTGTGAAGAATGTGTTAATGAATTTTCACTTCGAAAATCAACAAGACATTATTTTGAACAAAGGCGCCCAACGTTTGCATATGAATGTTTAAAATGAAAAAAAACGTTTGCCTGAAAACAGCTCCACTTTAAAAGCTATTGTAAAGATGTTTTCTAGAGATGTAAAGAACCTACTTTGATGTATTTAGTACCAATGTACTCTTTTTTTCTGATCACGCATGTTCTTCAGCACAGCCTCTGGATCCTGTAGTGATCTGTCTGGGAGCAGCTTTAGGAGCGTGTGTGGTTGTGATCTCTGTCCAAACCATTTTATTCTGTAAAAGGAGAAACTGTGAACACTGCAGTGGTGAGTTTTCATCTGAATCATGTAACTTTTTAAAGTTAAAGTAATCCGTTTAAGAAAATTCTAGTTACAAATGAAGTATCCAGATTACAAAGGACTAGGTAATGCTATCTTTACAGTTGGCTAATTTCTAAGTACAAAGCCGGTAAGTGTGTGGTACAAATTCCAAAATATTAGATAACAATTTGTTTAACATACTGGTCAGTTCCAAGGTACTCTAACTAAATTACACTGAAATGCCTAATAGATTTAATATATTTACTTGTTAACTGTGAGGTACAAACTTAATAGTGCTGTAAGTATTTTAGGCAAAATTATGACTAAATTACGCTGAAATGCATAACAGCTCCTATATATAAAATTGATAAAGAACACTGTACAATATTGCATACTTGCATAAATATCTGGTGTAACAAGATGGTAAGTATAAACACTAAATATCAGGTTTAAGCAAGTACACTGTAAAAAGTGGCTCATAAGATCTACTTATAAAATTACTTCATGTGGTAACAAGCAACTGATCTATTTATATAACTCAAAAAATTACTTTGATTGAAAGAATTGCTCATTCAAAGTACTTATTTAGGTTGAATAAAACTAGTTAATTTATTTGTGACCACATGAAGAGATTTTTAAGTAGATCTGACGAGCCACTTTTTACAGTGTAGTCTTATGGGGTAAAATATGGTGCAAAGACACCTGAAGACATAAGAATGTAATGTAGTATGTATCTGCCCATTGCCTAGAATCGAATCTGAACCTGGAATGTTAAAGAAAGCAATGATTCTTGCTATGATTTTATTCAGCCTGTACCTCTGATTTTTCTGATTTACTTTCCTGCTTGAATGTGTGATATTACAAAAACGATCCAGTTATTAGATATTTTACTTCAGGCATTTCAGCGTACATTTGGAAAAAATATAATTCAGTAAGTAAATAAGCACCTGCTACAATAGAAATGTTTTCATGTGTTTACACTAGCATTCAAAAGTTTAAAAATGTTTATTATGTTATATGCAGTCATATTACAATTTATCTACAAAAAATTAAGATGTTTTCAACAGTATGACTAATTATGTCAACAAAAGCTATTAAAGGATAAATATTATACTGTAATTATCTACATACATTTAATCTTTTGGTCTGGTTATCTGCCTTGAGATTTGATCTTCAGTTTTAATATACTATGAATTTTAAATATTAATTTTATAATTTCATAATAATTTCATTCCTGATATCATACAGCTTTCTCAGTCATTTTGGATTAACTCATCATTCAGGACACATTTCTTCATTTTTATTTACAGCTTCTTACTAATTATTTTGTACAAGGGTCTGCAAACAAATTGATTGTGATATTAAAAACAGTGATTTCAAACTTTGAATGGTAGTGAATGTAAAATACAAAAAACAACCAACCAACAAAATGCAACAAACATGATAAAGATGCTGACCTGCTTGTGTCTGTTATTCAGCAGAGAAACCTAAAGACTCAGTCAAAGAGAAGACGACCAAACAGGTACTGCTTTAGTGCCATTATTCCTGACATTACATGTACAAAATCAATGATATATAAGAGCTCTTATTTAAACTCTCATGTCTGTTCCTGCAGGATGAAAACGCTGAGGAGCTGAATTATGCAGCCTTAAATTTCCATGAAAGGAAAACTAAAAGAGGAAGAGGGAAACGAGAACAGCCACAAGAAGACACTCTGTATTCTGCAGTGAGGGGCTCCTCTGTTAATGACCGCAGAGTAACGCGTTAACTGTAACTCATGAATTCTCTTATTGGTGAATGGTATTTATTACTAATGGAAGTGAAGCTTAGAGAAGTTCTACTCACAGTGCATCATCATCTGCACATTCAGTGTGGTGGAGGAGGTGGAGTCAGGTACTCAAAAAAACAAAATAAAACTGCATGTCATGTGTTTGTGTGTTCATAACTATAGATATCAGTAATACGCAACTATCAGTGAGAGGAGGGTCTTTATGAGACGGTCAGTTATTAGAATAAATGTTTGTGTAAGAAAGAACTGAACTGGTTTACTCTTCCATGTTTTTATTACTACATAATTTTCTCCTAAATTAAAACTCTTGTCTTCTTTTAATTTTTACTGTCTGCAGTTTGCTGAAATACTTCAGACATGCACTTTATTTATTATTTTGCCAACATATCTGTCTTCTAATGCATACTGGTTACATGTTCCTCCTGAATAGTAGAGTCAGTTTCTAATGTCAGAAAAGATTCTTGTTGAAGATTTTCTTTGTTGTTTTCTGCTTTCTAAAGCCCAACAGATGATGTTCTTTTAAAGGGGAATTCCACCGATTTCAACAACGTCATTGTTATTAGTCACCCTTTGGTTTTGTAGTACATCAATTTGGGGGGCCCGAAAAACATTACTTGTGGCCTGGAAAAGGCCTTAGCCGGCCCTGTGCATGACCAACGTCCTCCAGGGCCTCCATGTTAAATTTATTATAATGATGCTGCCTTTTCTCTGCTTTATTAAAGGACCCGTATTTGTCCTTTATTTTGTCCTTTACCCTGAAGTCCACTTATTACATGTGTTGTTCTATGTACTGAAAACAGTCATAGGCCTTTGAGATTGATATATGTAAATGAGCTCTGTCCTACTTGGTTCTCCTGTACTGTGCCACATACAAAAATCATTCCAGGCTTAAACACTCCTCATATATTCAGCGTTAATGGACGGGACTGATTAGGCAAATATATTAAATGTGCTGGTTTTCATTGCATCACAAGAAACAGTGAACAGAGAATGAAAGCTGAAACTTTAACTATATTTATATACCACATCAAACTGTTTTATCACAAAAAAGTGAGGTAAATTCATTTTTCCATAATATGGGCCATAAGCAAAACATTGATCACACAGAAGTTAATTTAGCCTTTTTACGCTGAAGTTTACTGAAACATCTGTCCAAATGTAATTGTAGTGATACAAATCAAAAACCTCAATGATTTGTGTGCTAAAAGCGCCCTCTTGTAGAAAATCTTAGATTGGATTTCTAAGTAAGTGAGTGAGTGAGTGTGTCTGTAAGATGGCTTCTAAAAGCACAACTCTAAATAGGCCGACTGTTAGTTCTTGTAGTGTTGAAGTCATTTTGTATGTTGTATGTATCATTACCTGTTTAAATGACTATGAGAAAGTAAAATGCCGATAATTAGACAGGTTATTGACTCATGAATGTGACTGTGAATGTAATCAATAATTATGTAAGACCAAATATTCTCCATAAGGTTTAAATCTGGAATCTCTCAGGCCAAAACCATCAATAAAAATCCTTATTATTTAGTTTCTGCATGAAAGTGTACATTTTAATCTGTGCTATTGAATGTTTTCACTTGATAGACAATCAGAAATCTTTTACATCCAGTCAGTAGTCAAGATTGAGTGAGCACTGTTTATGTTATGATTTCTATATCAGAGGCGCCACTCCTGCAATCAGCAAAGGTGAAACTAACACAGAATTAAATGTGAGAAGGAAAGAGACTAAGAGAGAGGTTTTAATCTAAAAATGAAGATTACACCATACAGTATAATATTTTCATGGTACAGGATTGCAGAAGGTATTGAAACACTGTCAGTACACTGGGATACTATCCACTGGTTGTTGTTTATGGGCTCTTTATCTAACTGATGTAAAGACGTTGTAAACAACAACAACCAGTATAATGGTGTATGCAGTTGTTCTAAAGTTAATGATGGTCATGATACTCCTTAAAAAGTGCCTTGAGACATAACGTATCACAATAACAATGTTATATCACTGTATTGCCCACCTCCAACAGTTTCTAAGTAATTAACACCGGATACCGGATTATATGCCTTAAGAAGGGGTTAACATAAGATTGAAAATCAAGATGCCTCAAAAAACTTTATTAGATTAAATAATAAATGCAACCATCATCCATGCTCTGCAGTCGTTTAGTAATGATTATGGTTTAGATTTCCAGTTATTAGAGAGGTTTTTATTCTTTCTCTATTTTGAGTATCTGAGGGATTCTGAAGGAACAAATGTGACCATCAGTTTTAAGTCCTTTAGCTTGTCATTAAAATGTACAAAAGCCTGTTGTTACCAGTAGGTGGCAGTGTGATCATTGGCCGTGCTCTGAGTATATACTGTGGTTTCATAGTTCTTTCCTCTCAGACATGAGAGACTATAGTGAATATAAGCCACGCCTTCTGTCTTATCATTTCATTTAACCCTGTTTTACAGGAAACTTATCAATCCTATTGGACTTTGACTCGGTCTTTCGAAAAATACATCTGTCAGATGTGTCAGTATCCTGGATATAATTCTATATGTGCTCAAACATTTTTATTACTGGTTAATGATATTCCTTACTCATCCAGTACCATGCACAATGTATTTTGGAGGAATATATGAGATTATTGGAGTTAAACTGAGTTATTTTTATAATTTTGGTCTTGTTTTTCAAAATCCCACTTTGATTTAAGATCAATTCCACCTATCTTTTTAAAGTTTCTAAGTGATTAAATTGCTGAGATGTAAACAAAGTCGTTGAGGTTGGTTTGATGTGAATTTGTTCATTGAAGAGGAAAACTTTGGTCAGGATTCATCTCACATGGCACGATATTAAGAAGTTGACTAATGTGTTTGTTTTCTCTTGTTTGGATTATTGTAATGTATTATTTACTGGCTTATCCACAAAGAGTATAGCCAAAGTACAGAATGTACAGAATGCAGCACACACACACACACACACACACACACACACACACATATATATATATATATATAATGGACTGGCGACCTGTCCAGGGTGTATCCTGCCTTCTGCCCGATGACAGGGATAGGCTCCAGCATATATATTTAAGCTGAATTTTAATCCATGGAAGGGTATTATTAAACATTTGTCCATATTTGACAATTTAAATAAGTAATACAATGATCATTTTGTGTGAATTAGCTATGCTGACTGTAACCAAAAGTGATCAGCACTGAGGTCATATTCTCTGATCTAAACTCTACATATGACACTGTAATCTTTCTTTATTCCATCATAGGGAGAGATCATGATTCAGTGGTGGAGAACAAACCCAGTCAGGTACTATATGTTCTCTCATTCACACTGACACTGTTTAATTCCCATAAAGTTCTCTAATCTTCAGCTTTTAATATTTCATATTCCTCTCTACAGGACTCTGCTGCTGTGGAGCTGAATTATGCGGCCAAAAGCCTGAGAATGAAGAGTGGACGCTCTGGAGACAGTGTTTACTCTGAAGTCAGATACTTCTCAGTTACTGACCCCAACAATCACTGACTCACTGGACTCTCTTCTCTTGTAGCAGCAGAAGTAAAGTTTGTGGATATTTTCTGTTTACTGTTGATGCGAGAACACAGTGTTAGAGTGTGTGGTCGCTTTAGTCATTCACACGTAGCAAACACATTCATGAGCTCAGATGGCGTCTGATATTGTGTTCATGGAAATGTAGAAGACGTGTTTCTATATACTTAGATCAAAATAAAGCTGTGGTCACTCTGCAGACCTTTAGAGATTGTGGCTGATAGTTTGAAACTGAATTCACACCACACCTGCTTCTGTTTATTAGTTGAGTTTAACCCCTTATAATCCTAGGTTTATCACATACTGAGGCTTATTATTCAGTAAATATAGAGACTTCGAAGCAAACTGGTTGAAATATTCTTTGGTTATAGAAGTGTGTAATGAAACTTTGGGCCCACTGGACACAAAATAAAAAAATAAAATGTACCATAAATTCATATCATATTTGTTTTCTTTTTTAATATGTTAAATTCAGCAAAAAAGCAATAATTGTGCAGAATAATGTGCAGACGTGTGTTTTTTTTTACATACCATGACTTTTAGTAGGCAAATAAATTGATAGGAATATTCTTCACACTGTAGGTGCCCTAACTGAATATAAAAATAATCTGCGTCTGGTTTATTCTGTTCTGAATGGATGAATGGACATGGTGACACAGAAACATCTCTAATTCCTCAAGAGGGCACGTTTTACAGTGCTTTTGGAAACATGAGTTGATTTCAGATTCAACCATTTTGTAATGTGTAGACAAACTACATTTTATATAAAATAATATATATTAAATTGAATTTTTCACTTTTTTGGTGTCAGTATACTGAGGCCACATGGCAGACCAAACTTAGATTTAGATAACTCAGCTTCTTACTGAAACCTGTCTTTCTCTACTTGGTAAAGGAGGATAAAAAGATATTTCATATTGAATTGACTTATACAAATGTCACCTGATATATTTCTCTGACAAAGTTACTAATTTAAAGATACTGAGTTTTGTTTCAACAGCAACTATATTAGACACTTAAATGCCAGATATTTCAAATTTCTAGCTGTTTGATTGAATGGTGACCAATAAGTCATGTTTCTCCCACCATAGTCTTACAGATCTATACTTCACTGTCAGTGTTTATCATGAACCTTATCATAATGATAAGTCACTAAACCAGAAATTGCTGTCATGTTGGCAAAAGGAGGTTACACAAAGTACCCCCTTTGCAGTGGTGCCAGTAATAATGACAATGAAGCATGGTGTCAAAAAAAAAACAAAAAAAAAACCTTGTGATATTTGCTAGCCAATCAGATTATCTCTTGAGCTCAGCATGCTAATGCAGTTTGCTGCTTTGGGTCAGAAGGTTCCTTTCCAAGTTGCTTCATATAAGCAAAGCATCTTATGATGATGATGATGATGATGATGATGATGATGATGATGATGATGGCTCCACTGCGGATTCTCATTTTATCTCTCTACATAATATGTAAGTTGTGAGCTCTTTACAAAATTGTCAGATATTAAATTACAATTAAATTCTTATATAAATTCTGTTGCCAAAATGTCAACCACTATTGTTCTTATTGTTTATAATTGATTTCATGTAATTTGTAGGTCTTGTTGAAGCTGCGGATCTTAATGAGCAGTTTATCTCAGTTAGGTCTGGAGAAAGTGTCACTCTGCCTTGCACAGCTGAAAAGTCTGATAGAAACGTTAAGGTTTGGTACAAACAACAACTGTGGCAGAAACCTAAAGAAGTGGCATCAAAGTTAGACAACAGATCTCCCATTTTATCTGATTCAAAATTCAATCTAAATGGAGATTTTTCTCTGACTATTAAAGAAACTTCTGAAGATGATGAAGGAATGTACTTCTGTGGAAAAAGTGATGGAAAAACATTTACATTTTCTAATATCATAGTCTTAGTTGTGACAGGTAATCACATTACTTTTTTTATTATACAAGCACACTCAAAACTTTTCACAATTTATTTTTACAATGTTAGAATTATTTAAGAGTAAGTAATATTCGGTTAATGTCTCACACTGAAAATTATTAATATGATGAAATGTTTAATTAGAATAAAGTGCAGCCGTAAACAAGACATTTGTATTACATTCACCAGGTCATCCTCAGTTAAAGGCATCAATTGTCCAAACCCCAGTATGGGGGTCAGTTTCTCCAGGAGAGTCGGTCACTCTGCAGTGCACGGTCCTCTCTGAGATCAGAACAGCAGAACTCCGAGTGCTCTGGTTCAGAGCTGCTGCAGGACAATCCTTTCCTGAAATCATTTACACTCATCAGAACAGCAGCATCCGTCAGTGTGAGATCAGCTCGTCTACACACAGCTCTGTGTACAACTTCTCCAAGAACATCCTCGACCACAACCATACTGGAACTTACTACTGCGCTGTGGCTGCTTGTGGGAAGATCATTTTTGGAAATGGAGCGTCAGTAGAACTGAGTGAGTCTGTTTTAGTCTTATATACATTATATACATATAGTGGCTCAAATATTTTTGGACATATATGCCATTTAAAATATTGAAGTTCATTGTGTAAGAATGTTTGTTAAGAAACAAAATGTCCAACTAAGTGGCATTTATGTTAAACAGACACTTCCAGGACTTTAATTTTCTTTTTGGCAAAGTATTCTTTTAAGAGGCAGCTTCTGAGAATCAGATCAATATTGTTTGTGCAGTTTCTGCAGGTTTATGTTTACAATGCCTTTGTACACTTCCATGTCCATGTCCATGATCCCATCAAAGGACACACGTGGACTGTAACCACTGTAGGAAAACAGCCCAGGCTTCGATGTTTCCACTTCTGTGCCTTATAGAAGCCTTGCTCCAGCCTTGGTGGAATTCTTCTTCAGGCTTTCTCCACATATAGAGTTTACCATCAGTCTGATGTTGTGCTTAAAGTGGTTTACTCTGAAACAAAAATCACTTTGCTTAACAGTTTATGAAGTAACCTTAAGAACTTCAAGTTTAACAGTAAGTTAAGTGTCATATATATATATATATATATATATATATATATATATATATATATATATATATATATATATATATATACATAGTAGCATTGGTGTAGAAGAAGACCTGGAAAACATTGCGCATATGGGCAAATGCTCTTTTATTTTAAACAGGCAAACTCAGCTACCTTGCTGCTGGTCTTTAGTTACAGTAAGGGCATCATATGCCCTCGAAGAGGGGTGATGCGACTATAATTTATTATCACCAACCCGTAATTCTTCAGAGATATAAAGCTGAAGTCAGTTATCTGCCAGCTTCTCGTTCGAATTTTCCTGTTCCACCTTAAATGGTGCAGCAGTTCTGACTCCTGAGGTGCCGGAATGTAACTGCTGCCATTTGAGGTGGAATGGGAAATTTAGCTAGCTAGCTATAGAGACATCATACTATTAGTGAATGTTTATGCTTGCTATAAAGAAAAAGACCATATTACATTGTAATGACATAAACTAAGATAATACAATGGTTATAAAAATTTTGCAGCAGAGAAAATACTGACATTCGTGGGTTTCTTTGGCCACTTGTGCAGCCATCTTGGTGGTTTTCTGTTATCATAATGCTTTGTTTGGAGTAAGCCTCTGAAAAACCTCTGTTTCACCCTACCCCTTTATCTCAACAAAAATCGTGACACTTCACCCCTAGGCATGAATGCGCAAAACAGAGGGGTAAGGGCTAATTGGTAGGGGCAAGGGATGAAATGATATTGGGTCTAACAGTCCTTTTCTAAACCAGGCGCATGGTGCCCCTCAGGAGCCACATGGCCACACCCATTAAGCTCTTCATGGCAGTACAGCATTTAATTTTAGAAGTTTGAGGCTTTCGAACAAACGTCATTAAACATTAATACAAATTAAAGCACAAAACATGAAATTCATTATAAACTTGCACGTTGCTGATCATTCTTGAAGTTAACACTCAGAGAAAATCCCGCAAAAAGATTTGAATCAGGTGTAAAATTTTCTCACTGTATCCACAAAGCTATCACTTATTCCAGATCTCTGTTTTCTAGATCATCAGCCTGTGCTAGTTGTTACCCTGGCAGTGGCGCTGGCCTTGTTCTCAATCGGGAATATCACTCTAGTCTACTGGAGCTGTAGGAGAGAGAGCTGCAGCGGTGAGTTTATACAGAATCAGTATGTTCAGGAATTCATTACCATGAGGGTAAAATTTCGAAGATCTTTCTCTCTCAATGCATTTTAAGGCAATACATCTTAGTCTGGCATCCACAATTTCCCAGAGGCGCTTTAAGACCAGGTACGTTACCATCATACTCTTTTCACTGATTCCACTGAAGTGTCAGATTCAGTGCTTTAGAAAGTGTCTTTTGTGAGAAACAGTCAGATCTGTTGAGTCACTTGCATTCATTAACAGCAGATGTACCATGAGATATTCAAAGGTTCTTGCACATGAATAAGGAACCATCTATATTTCACCTATTCATTAGTAACCTATAGTGCACCATAGACATATACAGCCCTGACTAGATCTCATGTCCAAATGTGTGCTGGTTTATTAAGGTAAATTTTATCACTGTTTTCAAAACACATTTTAATTTGAATCATAGTAATATTCTCAGGATTGTGACCAAAATGTATTGTCAACTGGCAGATAATTAATATTTGATGCCTGATAATTAATAGAAAATGCATTTTTCCAGGCTGCTGAAGTTAGGAAGTAGCAAATGTAAAATACAGATGTACTACCTCTTGGTTATTTTTATCAAAAAAGATAAATTGTGTGATAACATGACAAAAAGGCCCAAGATATTATTATTAATTACAATCCTGGGGTTGCAGTTCTACTTTGCTGTAAAGCACACATTCTAAATGAGTTTCTATGACTTTGTCATGCTCATAAATATAAACTTCTCCGTAATTTGCCAGAGTAGAATGTACTTTTCACACCGTCATCTTTAAATGACTTGTAAATATTTAACATTCAGGAAACCCAACTGTGGTAGTTCTGAATAAAGTAGTTATTTAAGTTTTACAGCATTAAACAACGTAAAGATGTTTACAAGACTTAATATATCCATAAAAACAAGAATAAGAAGTTAACATATACACTTGATCTATTTTAAAACTGAGTTCAAATAACCTGTAGATAGTTTCACACTTTCAAAAGATGGTGTGTTTTCAACACTTTAACATAGTGCAGCCTGTCCCACATTTAGGTTGCATGCAGTTACATGCAAAAGTTTGGGCACCAAATTACACATTTTTTTATGTTTTAAAATGAAAAGAAGTAAAAACAACCTCTACAGCAAAATGTTAATGTTCTATATTTGATTAACTTGAAGTTCAAAATAGTAACAGCCCCTCTGGCCGATAACATGGCATGTAAACCAGTTAGCATGTTGCCAGCTAGGAGTCTTTCTGTTATTGTTTTAGAAATGTTCTAGTCTTGCATGCACATGTTTAATATCTACCCACAGATCTTGACTGATGTTCAGGTCAGAGGACTTTGAGGGCCATTCCAAAAGCTTCATCTTCTATGTCTTAAAGTGGTTTAAGGAGGATTCTGAAGTATATTTTGGAGTGTAGTCCAGTTGTAAAATTCAGCCTCTTTTCATTTTTGGTTTCTTGACTGACCGTGTCACATTGGCTTCCAGACTTGTTAGTGGAATCCATTCTCTCATTTACCTGTGCAATTTCCTGTGCGACTCAACTCCAAAAATTAACCGATCCACCCTCATGTTTAACATTTGGCAATGTGTTCTTTTCATCAAATGCTGTTCCTTTTTGTCCAAACATTTTTTGGAGGTTGTGGCCAATGATTTCCTTTTTATTGCAGTCGACAGGACTTGTTTACAAAACACCTCTGGCTCATCTGTATGTTATTGTGCTTACTTCAGATGTCGCCTTTTGTGATGAGGTCACAGCTAAACCTTCCTGCAGGTCCTTTGCTAGGAGTTTTGCTTTGCTTTTCTAGCTAGCATATGAGAAGTTCAATCTGAGAGTTGTGCTGGTCTTCCAAGTCTTGCCTTGACTTCCACAGTTCCCCTTACCCTCCATGTCTTACTGACATTTTGGACAGTGGAAATACAAGCTGCAAGCACTTTGATATTTTATACAGGCTTCCCTGGCTTTGTAGGCGTCATTGGGCTTCATTTTCTGATCCTTAGCTTCTCATACAAGCTCACTGTTGTTGAGTTTTGATAGTATAGTAAAAAAAAAAAAAGTACTAAAAAAAATATACTGCACTATTATAGTTTTCATTAGCTGATATTCCCAATAACAACTCTTGACCTGCCTAACTGGTCTTAATGAATCAGTTAAGGCCTAAGGAGTTAAGTTCTGAGACTTTACTGGAAAGATGCCTAAACTTTTATTTTAAAAATAATAACCTACAAAATATGCTATTTGGTCAGGGGTGCCTAAACTTTTGCATGCAACTGTGTATGTCCAAAAGTATACAGACACCTGCTAAACCAACGTTTCTTCAGAAATTAAGGGTATTAACCCTATTGGACTTGGAATCTTGCATCAGCCATAATGAGTATTAATAGAGAGTTTGTTCCCCCTTTGCTGCAGTAACAAGATTTTGCACTGGATGTTGGAACATTGCTGTGAGGAATTGATTACATTCAGCCACAAGAGCATTAGTGAGGTCAGGTACTGATTTTAGATGTTTAGTTCTCAATCAGTCTAACTCATCCTAAAGGTATTGGATGGAGCTCCATCACTCCAGAGAACACAGTTTGACTGCTTCATAGCCCAATGCTGGGGGGGTGGTGCCCTCTGGTACCTGGCACCAAGTCCTTAGCGAAAGATACTTTAAGTGTGGCAGGGTACATTATCCTGCTGAAAGAGGTCACTGCCTCTGCCATAAAGAGATGTACCTGGTTCACAAAGAGGTGGGCGCTGTCAAGTTAACATCCACATGAATGCCTGGATCTAGAGTGCCCTAGCACAACATCACTGAGAGCATCACAATTTCTCCATCTGGTTATCTTCTTCTGGTGCCATTACTTCATCAAGTAAAATGTGCACACATGTCCAGCTGTCCATGTGATGCTAAAGAAAATGGGACTCATCAGACCAGGGGACCCTCTTCCATTGCTCCAAGGCCCAGTTTTAACATGTGTGTATCCATTGTAGGCCCTTTAGACCAGGGGTGCACAACTCCAGTCCTGGAGGGCCAGTGTCCAGCACAGTTTAGAGGTTTCCCCGCTCAAACACACCAACTAAACCTGGCAATTAACAGAGAAGTGTAATCAGGTGTGTTAGAGCAGGTAAATCACTAAACTGTGTTGGACACTGGCCCTCCGGAGTTGTGCACCCCTGCTTTAGAGAGTGGACAGGTGTTAGCATGTGCACTGTGGCCGGTATGCAGCTACAAAGCCCCATACTCAGCAGTGTGGGATGCACTTTGTGTTGTGACACATGTTTCCTTTAACCTCCATTAAAACTTTCAGTGCCTTTGTTTCTGTCATGAGAGCCTTGGGTGCCCAACACTCTGTTGCCAGTTAATGGTTTGTCACTGTCATGGTTTGTTCAGACCACTGTCGATAGCTACTCACCACTGCTGACTGAGAGCACAAACTTTGATGTTTCAGAGATGCTTTGACTCAACCATCTGGGCATGGTGGTTTGGCCCTTGCCAAAGTCACTCAGGTCTTCACAGCAGGTCATTTCTCACACATCCCATCGACTACAAGAAGTAACTGTTCTCTTACCATCTAATATGTCTTATACCTTGACATGCGCTGTTGTTACAAGATAACCAACATTATCCACTTCATCTATGAAGGTTTTGGCTCATCAGTATAGATCTCACTATTGCAGCAAAGCAATATAGCCCTCAGTGAAAACTACAGTCCACTATAATTTCACTGTTGTTGTAACAAAACCTCGTATCTCCGAATTGGTAACTTTCAGGAGAAGGAACATAGTTTACCTTTAATGTAAGTCAATGGAACCAGACTTTTTTTCCCAAGTAATTTTGGGTCGTTTCTTTTGGTCCATTCATCATGAAATTTGCGCACAATGTAAAGACCAACAGGGATTTTCAAATTATGCCAAAAACTGAAAAAACAAAACAAAAATGAAGATACAAGGTTTTGTTCCAACAGCAATGATAATTAGCATTTATAATGCCACCTAATGTAGTTGTCCATTTTAGCCATAACCGTTTTTCCCCTTTTTTCTCTCTGAAATAGGAGAGTAATTCCGAGGGCTACTATTTCACTCCTTTATATTTGAAGATGAAGAAAAGAGGACACAAGGAGAACATTTTCACACCAAGTGAGGTTCTTCCCTGTTTGTTACAGACCAATTCAGAAAGACAACGTTGGTGAGAAAATAAGAAAAATAATAAGATAATGAAAAAAAAAATAACTGAGAAAAAATCTGTCATACTGAATTAAAGGTGCTGATGTAAAGTGTCAGTGTTCTCTGGGTATTTTTAATAGCATGAACAGAGTGTTAAATGTACCAATTAATGTTAAATATAAAACAGATAAAATATGTAATTCTCATTGGATCCTTTACATTATAAGCTAAGGTTCCATAATTATTTGGTATCCAATGACAATTAAAAAATATCTGGACTGCTGTTTTCCTCTGAGCTGTAAAGTTGTAGACTTACTATAAACAGCACTTTCTGAAGTATCTCTGTGTTCTGTGCATCATGCTTTCACCGTCATGAACTTAAATATCATTTGAAAATATTACATTAAATACATTTCATTCTTCATTCAAAGTCTTATTTTGATGTGATTTGATGTGATTAAGTCAAAATCTCTGTTGGATTATGTAATTCGCCATTTGCTCCTTTTTTGTCTTGTTTTTTTTACTCTTTGACTTTTAAACTGTTTTGTTGACCTAAATTTACTCATATTAAAGTCATCTTGCCAATGCGTCCTGTTTCTCTGAGTTAATACTGTTTATAATACTACCAAATATAACACCAAAGCCAGTGAAATGCTTATTCCTCTCTGTGCATCATGCTGTCACAGTCATGAACTTAAATATCTTTTGAAAATATAGCATTAAAAAATGTTCATTCTTTATTCAAAGTATTGTTTTGATGTGATTTGATGTGATTGTCAAAATATTTTACCTATAATTTTTAAACTTTAAAAATGTTTAAATATTTCAAATATTTACCTAGAATTTTTTACCTAGAAAAAGATACAAAGACAGTCATGAACACATCCAGCATAGACGGATGTCGTCTAACACAGTCTAATGGTGTAAATTATTTTTCTTTTCATTGCTATTCTCAGTTTATATCAGTGAGTAGCTGCTCCATGTGCAGAGTGCTATAATGACATGTAGAGTGTCCTCCATCCTGTAGGTCATCATGTCCTCACTGAAGACATTGTGTCAGTTGTATTAGCTCTTTTTGATTTTGCAATTTTTTGCTCATGCTTTTCTAGAGCGACATTAATAGGACCAGTCAGTAAGGCTATAAGGAATCACTAATAAAATGGGAATATGACAATGATAGCATTATTGCCATGCTTGGTTAAAAATGAATAAAGAAATAAAATAATAAAATCACTTATCAAAACACTTATCACAAATACATGTTTTTTTATTTTTTCTTTTATGAACAAAACCACTTGTTATAGTTATTGGCACCCCTAGAAATTATTATGGATAAAAACCTCATTTATATTTCACTTTTTTAAGTCCATGTGAATGTTTAGAAACTCTTAGATCATCATTCATGACTTCCTGTTTCACTGGGGCATAGCACAGTGACCAGATTCCCTCAGTCATTCATCTGCTGGGGAAGATTAAAGAATACACAAATGAAACGAGACAAACATCTGTTTACAGAGATTCTGGCTGGACATTAAGCACAAAGGTAGTGGAAAATTGGGCTAAAATGGACAGTAAAATGGACAATCTGGTTTAAACCTAGCTGACAGTATTGACACTGTCATTAAAGCAACTGGGTGCTTAACTTGATCTGTTGTAAAAAAAAAAAATGTGCATGAAACTATTTATTTATTTATTTATTTATTTATTGTTTTGGGGGAGACTATAATTACAAAGGGCAGTCTTAAGGCCTCCACACACCGAGCCACATAGTAAATATTACACAAACTACTGTTTAACTGCACAGAATGCGTTACAGTCCTTTTTTTTTAATTCTATTAAAATAAATTTGATTGAATAAAACCTTTAACCCCTTAAATAACCTGGCCCAAAGTTTTATTGCACACTTCTATAACCTAACAATAGCTCAGCCAGTTTGCATAAATGTCCTTATAGTTACTGAATAATAAGCCTTAGTGTGTAAGAAGCCTGGATTTTTAAGGGGTTAACATAATTCATTACACTTGGCATTAGTTTACTGTCTCTTCAGTAGATTTGTTTTGAGAGATACAAGGTAAAAAAAAAAAGACAACACTATTAGCATAAGCTGAGTTAACAAACCATTTTTCTGTTCTTCTAAAAAGACTGGCTGCCTGTGTTCATTTCAAGCCACATCTTCTAAGGCTTTATGTTCTCAATGTGGCTTTAATTTAATATACTAATCACAAAAATGCTGAGCGGAGAAACTGAACAGTGCTCGAAGTCACCGAGCGCCAGAACACCACGATGCCAAATGTCGACACTGGTGTGCAGACCTTCATTAAAAACAATTATTGTATATTTTTGGATGTTGTGCTACATCCAAACATTGCACGTTATTTCAACTGTTTGAAATGATGTGAGAAATATCAGTGGTTTTGTAGCTGCCACAGTTAAACCCCAAAATACTCAAAGTAGATTGTTTAGCTTAGTTACAGTCAGTAACAACATAAAGAAAGCAGCACCAGCCTATCCTTGAGTTGTTTTCAACACTTTACTGTACTATGATCATTTGTTGACTTTTTCCATAACAATTATTAATAGTCTTTGTTTTCTTAATTATCATTATATTTATCTTTACTGGGGTGTTTTGCTAAAATATAACTTATAGACCAAGAATTTCAGTGACACAATGGAAGGAAAAGAAATGCTGTTGTAATAGGCAACAAAACTGAACCTCCATACTGCAACTCCATTTCCACAAAAGTTGGGACGCTGTACAAAATGTAGATAAAAGAGAAATGCAATGATGTGCAGATCATTTAAACCCTATATTTTATTTAAAATAGTACAAAGACGACATCTAAAGTGTTGAAACTAAGAAATTTTATTGTTTTTTGAAAAATAAATGCCCATTTTGAATTTGATGCCAACAACTTGTTCCAACACTAGTAACTGTTTGGGAACTGAGGAGACACTGCTGTAGTTTTGAAAGTGAAATGTTTTCCCATTCTTGTTTGACATAGGATTTCAACTGCTCAAGCACACAGACTCTTTTACTATGGAGCAATGCTGTTGTAATACATGCAGAATGTGGTTTGACATTGTCTTGCTGAAATAATCAAAAAGACGTCATCTGGATGGCAGCATATGTTTCCAAAACATGTATCTATCATTCAGCATTAATGGTGCCTTCACAGATGTGCACGTCAGCATGCCATGTGCACTAATGCACCCCTATCCCATCATGGATACTTGCCTTTGAATTGTGTACTGATAACAAGTGGTCTTTGGCCCGGAGGACACAGTGTCCATGATTTCCAAAAAGAATTTCAAATGTTGACTTGTTGGACAACAAAGGATACTTTCCCACTTCCCCTCAGTCCATTTTAAATGAGCTCTGGCCCAGAGAAGGTGGCAAAGTGTCTGGATCCTGTTTATATTTGTTTTTTTCTTTGCATTTAAGAGTTTTAATTAGCATTTGTGGATGCAGCAAAAAAACTGTTTTCACAGACAGTGGTTTTCAGAAGTGTTTCCAGTGAGTCCATGCAATAATTTCCAGTACAGAATCATGTCTGTTTTTAATGCAGTGTCACCTGAGGGCCCAAAGATCACAGCCAGCAAATGCTGGTTTTTGGCCTTGTCCCTTGCATACCGAGATTTCTCCAGATTTTTATTGAGAATTTTATACTTTATATTGAGAAATGTTATTCTAGAATTGTTTCACTATTTACTGTCTTTCACAGAGTGGTGAACTCCTCCTCGTCTTTACTTCTGAAAGACTCTTTTTTTATACCCAATCCTGGTACTGGCCTGTTGCCAATTAACCACCAGGTGTTTTTTTTAAGTATTACACAACTTTACCAGCCTTTTGTTGCCCCCATTCCAACTTTTTTTGAGCGTGTTGTTGGCATCAAATTAAAAATGGGCATATATTTTTCAATAAACAATAAAATAAGTTTCTCATTTGTTATTATTCATGTTATTCAACATGCTAAAACAAAAATCACTGTCTCATCAGTGTCTCTGGATATTTCTCTTTTTCCCTTTCTTTAAGGTTTTTCCTAGCAGATAAAACCCAGCTGAACAGTGTGAAGAAAAACAAATTGTATCAAATGTAAAATGAAAATTTATTTCTTGTCGGATCCTTTAAATCATGAGTCAATTTGCATAATTATCTGGCATTTAGTGATGTTATTAGAATTTCTTGATGTCTGCTTCTTCTCTGGGATGTAGGGTTGAAGGCTTACTGTGAACTGAGTCATGATGTTTGTAAATCATACTGTCATCATCATAAATGTAAAATTGCCATAATAAAATATCTGAAATTCCATTCTTCTTTTATTTGTTGTGGTTTAGATATTTTGTTGTGGGATAGATAATTTTAAATGAGGAAATATGCAAAACAGCTGATATTTGTTGTACAGTATTTGGAATTCCTTCAGTGCTGCTCTTTACTGAGTGGATGCCTTTTGGGTAATTTCTCTATTACAACTAACTTCTATAGTTCTGCAGGCTGGATGGTGCAGTTCCAACAATACGACTCTAGATGTCTCTAAAACCAAAGAAACTAACATTTTATTTTGATAGTTAACTGTAGAATCTCAGTCTGTCTTTAAGTAACACTCAAATGAATATCTATAATATCTATATCTAATAAGTGTTACCGTACTTGAAGACCATGAGAGATTATTTTAAGTCTAACCCTGATCTTAACCTCAACCTCAACACAAAACCTACACCTACCCCTAAACCAAACCCTGTAGATCATATATAGGGGACCATCAAATTAAAGAATGACCCAAAGAACTTTGCTGTTGTCTTCTGTAAAGAAGGTAAACAGCATCAAGTTTCTCTAAATTTGAGGATAATGTAAATTAATCTTAATCTTTTTCTTTCTCATTCAATTGAAATGTGGAGCATGTTTTGGAAATCATTTTAATGTAATTAGTTGCTAAATGATAAATTGAATTAAAGGCCTTTGTCTTCAGGAAATGTATCCTTCTAACCTGGTGCCAAGAGCAGTTTCTGTGCTGTGGTGTATCAGTTGTATTAAGAGATGTGGTGATCTTCACTGGCTGGCTGAGTAAATGGTCTGGCGTTAATCTGGAGAATAACTTTAGTCTGGTTCTGTATTTCTATGACACAAATAATGAAATGATTCTGACCTGAGTCACTGAAGGACAGTTGTAGATTTAGACCAGAGAATGATCTACTGGAGAAGGATGGTCCACTGTAATTGGAGCACACTAACTAACTCAATAGTCTAGATGCTGCTGTTTTCTTGGTCTAACTCAGAATCTTTCCAGGACAAAACAAATGTGTATTTGAGAGGTAGAAGCAGGTGTGCAGGCACATGTAAATTCCAAGTGGTGAATTTTAGGAAGTCTCTATTTACATTCAAAGCATCAGTTCACCAGACCTTTAGGTAAGATGGTTCATTCAAACAAATGTCATACTTGTCATACTTTCAAAAGCCTCTGGTGTTTAACACCTCCTGTGGATCATCAG